TTATTTTACATATAAGCCCACATGTTCAATTAAAATCCTTATAGGTTTTCCTTCCATTTCTTCAGGAGAATTGTGTCGTCAGAAAATGTATCAAGCATTGGTTCTTATGACGATTGTGTCCAATCTCCAGCATAATAACTTCCCAGAATTTGAATCTTTCATAAAGTGGGTACATGTGAGAATATAAACAAAGCAAAGAGAAAGGAAAGTGAGCAAAGGAAAAATGGTAAAAAGGGATCAGTGTTGTAGCTATCTTCATTGGTATATATATATAAACCTTACAAAGTAATTTAAGTACAAAAAGTCTTCCATACTTCACCTACTACAAGAAATTGCATTTGATAGCTTTATCACCATACCATACATAGCCCATAATTCAAAAAATATGCCACCAAACGTGCACTAGTAAATCAGGAAATGATGATTACAAAAAAGGCATAGTAGATTGACAGCAAAAATGTCATGCTATACTTAACATTCCTCCTTGACATTTTGACTGGAAACACCAAGAAGATCTCTTCGTAATTCAAACTTTCCTTTCCTTAATGACTTAGTAGTATATCAACAAGTTGTTCATCAGATTTGCACTATACCAATTTAATTTCCTTCCTTTCTTGCGCCTCCCTAATTGAATGATATTTGATCTTGATACACTTGCTTCTACCATGGAACATAGGGTTCTTAACCATTGCTACTGTACTCTGATTGTCACAAAATATGATGGTAGCTTTATCTGGTTTATGCTTTAAATCTTCCAGCACTTTTCTTAACCAAACAACTTGGTTGGTGGCTTTTGATGCAGCAATATATTCAGCCTGTATAGTCGACTGAGCCACTATTTTTTGCTTTGTAGAATTCCAGCAAATGATGCTTGATCCAACATAGAATATATATCCTACTATGCTTTTCATATCCTAAGAACTTCCAGCCCAATCGCTATCTGTATAACCGATTAACTTCCAGCTTTCTGACCTCCTAAACTAGATTCCTAAATCCTTTGTTCCTTTAACGTATCTTAGGACTCTTTTAGCTGCTTGAAAGTGCAATTCACTGGGCTCTTATCTGAATCTGGAAAGGATATTTTCACATAAGTCAAATCAGGTCTAGTTGTTATAAGGTAGAGCAGGCAGCCAATAATACTCCTATAAACCTTTGCATCTATTTTCTTAGCATCACCATTCTTCGGCAGACTTGTATTCTGAACCAAAGGGGTTGCTACCGGTTTGTAATTCTCCATACTAAATTTCTTCAAGATTTCATTAGCATACTTCTTCTGGCATATGAAAATTCCCTGATCAGATTGATTGATCTCCATTCCTAGATAGTATTGAATCTCTCCCAAGTCTGTCATTTCAAAAGCTTTCTTTAAATTAGCCATCATGCCTTCAATCAATGTAAGGTTGCTACCTATAATCAATAGATCATCCACATACAGTGATATGATTAACGATTCTTTTTCTCCTCCTTTACATATAGGGTCTGCTCATTCACACTTTTAACAAAGCCAAGGCAGGTTAGATGTTCATCAATCCTACTGTACCAAGCCTTTGGTGCTTGCCTTAAATCATACAATTCCTTCTTTAGAAGATAAACTTTATCCTCCATTTCATCGGCTACAAAACCTTTAGGCTGTTCAATGAAGATTTCTTCATTTAAATGGGCATTTAGGAATGCTAATTTCACATCTAACTGATAGATTTTCCACCCTTTTTGAGCTGTCATTTCCATCAGCAACCGTATGGTTTCATACCTTGCAACTGGAGCAAAGTATTTGTGAAGTCTATTCCAAATTATTGTGCATACCCTTAGACGACCAGCATTGCTTTCAGCTTGTTAACTGATCCATCAGGGTTCAATTTTGTTTTATGCACCCACTTAACCCCAATTACTTGCTTATTCTGAGGTCTATCAGTCAATTTCCAGGTGTCATTCTTTTCTATCATCCTAATTTCTTCCTCCACAGCAGCCATCCACCTAGGTAATTTTGAGGCTTTAACAAAGCTTGTAGGTTCCATAATTGTAGCATTACATCTAGTATAAACATCTGCTAGAGGTCTCATTTTCAGCATGCCTTCATCTGCTTTAGAATCATCATCATTATCATCAGGTTCCAACTCACCCCATCTCTTTCTTCATTTATGTTCAAAGGAATCACATTGTTGATTTTCTCTTTAACTACAGAGTTTGCATCCCAATTCCATGTGGTATTTTCATCCACTTTAATGTCCCTGCTGGAGATTATCTTTTTTGACTAAGGATTGAACACCCTATAACCTTTAGCATTGTTACAATACCTAACAAGTATTCCAACTGTTGTTTTATCACTGAGTTTGTCCCTCTTTGTCTCAGGAACATGAGTGTAACAGACACTCTCAAACACCTTTAAATGTGAGATTCTGGTTATGCATCATACCAAGCCTCATAATGTGTCTTTTTATCCAAAGATTTTGTTGGCAGACGGTTGAGGAGATAGATTGTCGTGTTGACTACCCCTGCCCAAAATTCTTTGGGTACTTTCTTCTCAATCAATAAGCACCTGGCCATCTCTATCACTGTTATATTTTTCCTTTCACTCTCTCTTCTTTCTACTGAGGGGAATAAGGAATTGTTAATTGGTGCTTAACACCTTTAGCCTTACAAAGATCATCAAATTGCCTACAGCTGTACTCATATCCATTATCAGTCTTTATTGCCTTTATATTGCATCCATTTTCATTCTCTACCATGTTTCTGAATGTTTGGAAAATAGCTACAGCCTCAGACTTAGCTTTTAAAAAATAAACCCAACATATTCTAGAGAATTCATCAATGAAGATGATGAAGTACCTGCTGCATTCAGGGTGGTGATCCTCATTGGTCCACAGATGTCCGAATGCACCAATTCAAACTTAGTTGTAGCCCTCTTTGACTGAATTTTTGGAAATGGTAGCCTAGTTTGCTTCCCAAGTTGGCAAACATCACACATACACAAAAAAAAAAAATCATCCTTGATTTCAAGCAAATTTTTCGCCAAATTGACCTCATTTAATTGCCTCAAGGAGTTGTAATTAACATGGCCAAAATGTTTATGCCACAAGGTAGAATTATCCAAGACAGAAGTAAATGCTTGTGTGGCGATATTTTTCCAATCAATAGGAAAATTTATGTTCTTCATTTCAACTGTCATTACTTCACTTCCAATTTTATCTAGTATTGTGCAGGCATTTTCCTTAAATATAAGTGTATGGTTATTTTCAAGCAATTGCCCTACACTAACTAGATTTTGATCAATCTCAGGCATGTAAAGAATATCAGTTATTCGTTTAATACCTGAAGATGTCTGCACTTTGATTACTCCAATCCCCTTCACATCAACATAGTCTCCATTACCAACCTTCACCTTAGATGAGTCGGCCTTGTTCAATTCAACAAAGATACTTGAGTTTGCTGTCATGTGGTATGTACAACCACTATCTAGCAACCAATTTCCTCCTTTGTCATTGGTCTGAATAGCTGTAAATATGTGTTCCTCATGCAGATCCTGCTGATTCTCTGCAACCTGAGCTTGCTGCTGTGTTTTCTACCCTTTTCTGGTTTTGCACACCTTTTCTACATGACCAAATTGCTTGCAACTTCTACACTGGACACCAGGCCTATACCAACAATATTTCGGAGAATGCCCATTTCCTTTTACAATGAGGACAAGGTGAAAATTTATCCTCTTTATTGAAAGTTTTCCTGCCTTCAGGTTCCTTCTTCTCAGTCAGAACCTTCTTCATCCCAAGACTCATTTGAGCTTTGTATCTTCCTTTGACAAACAAGGCTCCTTCAGTTTGTTCTTCTTGTCATCAACCTTCTTTGCTCTGTTGCTTGAAGGGCATTAACCAGTTCAGCCAAAGTAATTGATGACAGATCTCTTAAATCCTCAAGTGATGATTTCTTGGCTTCAAACTTCTCAGGTAAGCTGATCAGAACATTCTCCAACACTCTTTTGTTTGGCAATCATCTCCCAACAGCCTAATCTAATTTCCAACCTTCAACAACCTATCTGTAAAATCTTATACCACCTCAGTTTCCTTCATTTTCAAGGTCTCAAACTCCCTTCTCAAGTTGAGCACTTGCATCTATCTAGTTCTCTCATTTCCTTGGAATTCCTCCTTAAGTCTATCCCAAGCTTCTTTTGCCATTTCACAAGTCATTATCCTTGTGAAAATAGCATCTGAAATAGCAGATGGAATGCATGAGAGAGCCTTGAACTTCTTGGCAACATCTTCACTGTGTTGTTTGATTTGAGCAATTGTGGGGTTAGCCCTCAATGGTGGAGGTTCAATGCATGTCTCGGTTATCTCCCAAAGGTCATAAGCATTGAGATATGCCTTCATCTTTGCAACGCAGAAGTTTTAATTTTCTCCATTGAAGGTTGAGGGTCGAGGTGTTGAAAAACCAGTTGATGCCATCCTATTTTCCGTCAACTCTGTTTTCTCTGCTGATGGTTCCCTTTTTTTACTTCAGTTCTTCTTCCTACTTTTTGCGGTCCCTTTCAAAGAACTAGGAAGCTCCAATACAATGTGAGAATATACACAAAGCAAAGAGAAATGAAAGTGAACAAAGGAAAAATGGTAAAAATGGATCGTGTTGCTGGCTGTCTTCATTGATATATATANACTTCCCAGAATTTGAATCTTTCATAAAGTGGGTACATGTGAGAATATAAACAAAGCAAAGAGAAAGGAAAGTGAGCAAAGGAAAAATGGTAAAAAGGGATCAGTGTTGTAGCTATCTTCATTGGTATATATATATAAACCTTACAAAGTAATTTAAGTACAAAAAGTCTTCCATACTTCACCTACTACAAGACATTGCATTTGACAGCTTTATACCATACATAGTCCATAATTCAAAAAATATGCCACCAAACGTGTACTAGTAAATCAGGGAATGATGATTACAAAAAGGCATAGTGGATTGACGCAAAAATGTCATGCTACACTTAACAATGCCGACCCCTTGGATTGTATTCATTAAGCTCCTTCGAGGCTTTCGCAACTGCACTGTGAATTCATCCCCCATTCATCCTTAAGATTGCACAATACTTCCTCGTCCTTATCCATCACTTCCTATAGCATTTAATAAAACTCTTATTTATATAATTTTGAAATGTTTCTTTGTCGACCAAACATTTGGTAACATGGAGACAATATATTAAATATAATCCACAAAAGATAAAACTTAACGGGTTGAATAAATGAAATTTATCGTCTTATTTTTTGGGATTTCCACTACGGTTTCACAGTACTAAAATGAAACAAAAGCAAAGGCTCACCTCACCTGATGCTTACCTTCAATTGGAATAACTTCAAATGGGTGCCACTGGAAACAGATCTTCATAGCCTTGATCTCAGCTACTGCATGTAGGAATCTCCAATTGCAGGTATTCTCGAAGGCGGCTTCATCAAATTTTCCCATTCTCTTTATATTTTTGCTAGTGGTGTCTCTACTGAACTTCTGGCTAAAGCCCTGAATATGTATACTGAACTTCATCATAGACGTGGCCCGAGTTTAAGTCTGCACGAATGCCTGTAAATAAAGTGATTTTAGAAATTCATATTTCTCTGCAATAGAATATAACTATAAAATTACTCTTGCCAAAACTCGATTTATTAAGGAAAGAAAACAATTAGTTCTAATTTTTCATTAATTTTTTTTTTAATAATTTGCATGTTGAAAAACATTTTATTACAACTTATCCGTCTTGGAAAGAATGGAAGTAAGATAGATTTCCTAAACCGCCCATACCAATACCAACAAAAGGGATTCTTCCTTTAATCTCATTATATGCACTTCCATTTTTCATTACATTTTCCAAAGGAAGCGAAGATCAATTGTATCAAAACAAAATCTTCCCTCTGAAATTGTTGTTGATTTTTATATCCAACAACTATATGGATCGTAGCAAGTAATATAGTGGACCAATGAGTCCGAATATCATTCCCACGAGGACTATTATCTAACAATTGGTTAAATTATTCTTAACTTTAATTTGATTGAAAACAAATAATAATTTTGTGATTGGTGCCTAAATTACTCAACTAAATTAAATTAATATAACGTACACAATTTATCAAATTTCTATTTTAAAAGTACGAATGTGAATGTTAGGACTTATAGTTTTACCTATGGATCCCCTTTAATTCGCCAATCAAAATTTGTTACTATTTTAGTGTTCGATTGAATTCTTCTAAAATGTTTAATTTACTTATCTCGAGTTCTCATTGAATCTATTTAACTAATTCAATTTCATATCTCTATGAGTCAATTTTCCTTAAACGAAGTATTAGTTCTAAAATTCATCTAATGACCGCAATAATTAGTATATGTATCTCTACACGTTATACTAAATTATCGAATTTTGCTATGTGGTCTAAACCTAAAACTCTCCTCTTGATTTATAATAGATTCACAAAATCATTGAATAATAGTCCAAATAATTGATAGCATTAAATTCATGAATAAAATCAATACATACGTAGAGATGGCAATGGGGTGGGTTCGGGATGGGGCACCCCCGCCCCGCCTCTCCCTCACCCCGTCTCGCCCCACCCCACCTTAGATGGGGTGGATTCGGGACACGGGCTTGCCCCATTTCCTGCCCCGTTTATTTATTTATTTTTTTCAAAAGTTTTCAATTAACTATTTTTTGTTTTTAATTTGTAGTTAATTATTTTTTTATTCTTCAGGGGTGGGTTCGGGGTGGGGCACCCCTCCCCACCCCTCCCCACCAACTCGTCGGGGCGGATTTTTTTGCCATCACTACACATAGGCATTTAAAGAACTAGAATTTCGAATAAAAGAAATAAAGGGTTACACATAAATTACATTATTCACCCTAACTATGAATTTAGGTACTCATAAAAATGAAAGTAAAACAAAAAGTATAGTGTTCATAACCAGGTTATGAAATCTTGATCATGAAAAGAATTTGATCTTATACCAAGAATCTTCTTCAACCTCAAAAGTTTTCAAACTCAAACTTTTCCTCTTTGATCTTAATGATTATATGTTTTTCTCTCCCCCAGAATGGTGGAACTCCTTTAAGGGTGTCCAAAAACTTGTATTTATACTCATCCCCACGTTTTTGTTGATTTAGGGTTTTATGGGTTTCAAAATGGGTAAAAAAAAAGGCGACCTAGATCAGTGCCACCTTTCAAGAAAATTTCAGCACTGCACACCCTTTAGTATTTTTATCATAACGTTCTCTTTTGATATCCAATTTAGGCAATTCAAATTGGGTGGTAAAGACAACTCAAAGGAATACAACTTTAGTTCAAATAGCTATTTTTCAATTCGAATATTTACTAGGCCAAAAATGGGTTTCAATCTCCATCTGAAAATCTGGAACATCCTCGTGAGGTTTAAAATTGATTTTACTGGTTCACACTGGTTTTCCTGTGTGTGATTTAGCGGATTTTTTCTTCTTGGATTTTCTTTTATTATTTTACTTTTGCAATCCGTTTAGAATTATTTTTATGGGGTTTTCTTTTTAAACTTTGGGTTGAAGTTTTGTCACAACTCAGCCCCTGTTTGACCCTTATTAAATTAAGTTAAATAACATTAAATTTTTTTATCTCTTCGTTATCACCACATATTCATCAAATAAAATAATATTACACACGTCTAAAATTTTTAATTACTTTTTCACCACACATTCTCCCATCAATCATTATTTCAAAAATTTTCAACTATCAAAAATGCCAAGTAATGAGGGCCAAACAGGGGCTCAAGTGGGTTTTGTGGGGAAAATGTTTCCTCTTTTGTAGAGTTTTTTTTTTCTTTAGCATCAATTGGTTCACTTGTAGATGTGTTTGTTTGATGTATTCCACTTGTCATTTTTCCTGATTTTGGGTTGTCCTGGCTAGTAAAGCTAAAACAACTATGGACGATGATAATGCAGCTCACATTACAATAAAAATAGTCATTTGCAACACTAAAAAGACAAAATTTGTTAACAAATATTGTCAAAAGGGTCTTTTGACAACATTTTAGTTAGCGAATGTTGTCATTGGTATTAATAAATGAGTTTTGGCAACGTTTTTTAGAAAAATGTTGCAGTATACACATTTAACAATGTTTATTGAGTGTTACGGAAGATTTTATCTTTTGCAATGTTTATCAAACGTTGCGAATTGCGAAAGGCACAATGTTTGGCCTTCTTTTTGCAACATTCATCAAGCGTTGTGAAAGTTTTTTTATTTAAAATATATGGCACCAATAGCAGAAGCCCAAAAATCTAACCCCAAGCCCTAGCGATATTATAAAGGGGGATTTGCTTAAAAGGACCAGTCAACAATACTTTTTGGTAAAATAGCCTATCTCAATACTTTTTGGTTAACTAGCCTTTAGTCTATTTCATTATGTGTTAAAAGTCTTAAACACCCTTCATTTGAAATATCTAAAATATCCAATTTGAAACAAAAATTTACCAAATCCCCCAAACATAAATCCCCACTTTCATTCTACTTTTCATACACAATTTAAAACCAACGGTAAAATGGCATACTGTCGTTTTAAACGGCTGAATGCCGTTTTAACTAATTTTATGTTCGTATCAATTTATGTTTCCTCGTATCCACATAAAAATTAATAAAAACAAGTTTTAACAATATTTTGAGTGAAATTGAGAGTCAATGATCCAAAACGGCGTGCTGTATTTATAAACGGTTTGGTGACATTTTAACTGACGTAGATAATTTTTCACTACATTTATAGTGAAATTGAGACCCTATAATCTAATATGACATGCAGTCGTTTTAAATGATTATGTGTCGTTTCAACTAATTTCGTATCAATTTCACCTTATTCACTCGTATGCACATTAAAATGAAAGAGTGGAAGTTTTTCAAGTCTGGTCGACTCGTTTTGTAGTGAAATCAAGGCTCCGCCATTCAGAACAACATGATGTCGTTAAAAAGTAAATAATTTCAATTTCAATTATGAGATAAGTTACTCAATAAATTAGATTGTTTAACTTGTATAAATCTTACACGATGTTCTAATATTTGATCGACTCATTTTGGAGTGAAATCGAAACCCTATAATTTAAAATGACATGCCGCCATTTTAAACGATTAGGTGTCGTTTCAACTAATTTCGTATCCGCTTTACTTTATTTTCACTTGTATGCACATGAAAATGAACGAATAGGAGTTTTCATTATGTTTGGACCCGTTTATCGGCATACAGTTCACCCGATAATAACCAACACCATTGTTCCGTGAGTAAGTTGTATTAGACTCAACTACGAAATAAAGTAAATAAAACAAGTATGGTATAGAAAACATAGCATGTGCAATCGTTCAATATATATAACTTATCTATGATATTCTAAACATTGTTTTTACTAATTTCGAAAAAACATCGAGAATTCGTGACCCAAAACGGCATGTAGTCATTTTACACGTACGTATATCATTTTTGCTAATTTCATGTTCGTTTCGCTCCATTCTCGCTCGTTTTTCAAATGAAAGTGTAAGAATGAAAGTTTTAACTAGATTTAGACGTCACAGTCCACAAAAAGTTCAAACTATAGTGAATCGCATCATACGTCCGATTGGAGATTACACTACACTTGATAACCAAGGAAAATGTATATAAAACATAGCATGTGCAATCGTTCAATATGTACAACTCATCTATGATGTTCCAAACATTATTTTTACTAGTTTCGAAGAAAAATCGAGAGCTCATGACCCAAAATGGCATGTAGTCATTTTAAACGTATGTATATCATTTTTGCTAATTTTGTGTTCATTTCACTTCATTCTCGCTCGTTTTCACATGAAAGTGTAAGAACAAAAGTTTTAATTAGTTTAGACGTCACAGTCCACACAAAGTTCAAACTATAGTGAGTCGCATCATACGTTCGATTGTAAATTATACTACATATGACCACCAAGAAAAATGTAACAAGTATGATATACAAAACATAACACATGCAATCGTTCAATTTGTACAACTTATCTATGATGTTTGAAATATTGTTTTTTACTAGTTTCGAAGAAAAAATCGAGAACCCGTGACCCAAAACAACATGTAGTCATTTTAAATGTATGTATATCATTTTTGCTAATTTCGTGTTCGTAGCTAGTGTGATAGTCAAAACATAGCACGTGTAATTGTTCAATGTGTACAAGACATGTATGATATTTCAAACACCGTTTTGCTAGTTTCGGAGTGAAATCGATACCTCCTGACCCAAAATGGCATTTGGTCATTTTAAATGGAGGGTTGCCGTTTAGGGTTTAGGTTTTAGGGTTTGGGGTTTACAAAACAGAAAACATATAATTGTTCAATAAGCCTTTTTAAACGATTAAGTGTCATTTTAAAAAAATTTGTATTCATTTCACTTTATGTTCCCTCGTATCCATATGAAAATTATTGAAAAACATGTTTTAACTATATCTGGAGTGAAATTTAGAGTTCGCAACCGAAATGATATGCTATCGTTATAAATGATTTGATAACATTTTAACTAATTTTGAATTTGTTTCACTTTATATTCTCTCGTACCCACGTAAAAATGAAAGTAAAATTTTTTTCACTACTTTTAGAGTAAAATCGATAGGCAATATTAAACATTCAAGATCGATAAAAAAAGGTTCACCCGATAGTGATCAACAACATTGTTCAATGAGTAAACTATACTAGTCTTCACTATGAATGAAAGTAAGTATCCTAAATTCTATTATACTTCGATTATAGACGAGATACTCAAAAAATTAGTTTGTTTAATTTATAAAAATCTTTTAAGATGTTAAAAAATATGATCGAATGGTTTTAAAGTGAAATCGAGATACTGTGACCCAAAATGACATNTCGAATAGTTTTAAAGTGAAATCGAGACACTGTGACCCTAAATGACATGCTGACATTTTAAATGGCTAGTTGGCATTTCAACTAGTTTCGTGTTCATTTGACTTTATATTCACTTATATTTATATAAAAGTTAAACGAATTCAAGTTTTTGCCATATTTGAACAAGAAGTTAGATACAAATTTCATTCGATAGTGACTAACACTATGAAAATGCACTGCACTTGACAATAAAGAAAACATAAGTAGCAAGTATGATATCCGAAACATAGCATGTGTAGTCGTTCAATGTGTACGAGTCATATATGATGTTTCAAACACAATTTTACTAGTTTCGGAATGAAATCGATACCCCGTGACCCAAAACAGCATCTGATCGTTTTAAATGTATAGATGACGTTTTTACTCATTTAATATTTGTTTCGGTTCACTAACGCCTGTATCCACATGAAAGTTTATGGATGAAAGTTTTAACTATATTTCAACGTTACGGTTGACACATTTGTTCAAACTATAGTAAATCACTCCATAATCCAATAGTAAACTACACTACGTTTGACAATTAAGAAAAACGTAAGTAGCAGGTGTGGTATCCAATACACAGCAAGTGTAGTCGTTTAATGTGTACGAGTCATGTATGAAGTTTCAAACACAATTTTACTAGTTTCGAAGTGAAATCGATACCCCGTGACCCCAAACGGCATCCAATCATTTTAAACGGAGGGTTGCCGTTTAGGGTTTAGGTTTTAGGGTATTGAGGTTAGATTTTAGGGTATAGGGCAAAAGAGAAAACATGTAATTATTCAACACGCCATTTGAAACGACTAAGTACCGTTTTAACAAATTTTGTATTCGTTTCACTTTATATTCCCTCGTATCCACATAAGATACTCTATAAATTAGTTAATGCAATATGTTGTGACCTTGTGACCCAAAACGACATGTTGTCGTTTTAAACGCATAGATGACGTTTCTATGAATTTAGTGTTCAGTTCAGCTGATTGCTGTTTTAGATACCTAAAATGTCGCATGGACGTTTTAATCGTATGACTGCCATTTTTCTAATTCAGTGTTCAATTCACATCACTTTCGTTCATTCAGCCCCCCCAAGTCGAGACCTTGTGACCCAAAACGACATGTTGTCGTTTTAAACGCATAGCTGACGTTTCTACGAATTTAGTGTTCAGTTCCACTGATTCAGCTGATTGCTGTTTTGGATACCTAAAGTGGTGCATGGACGTTTTAATCGTATGACTGCCATTTTTCTAATTTAGTGTTCAATTCGCATCACTTTCGTTCATTAGCCCCCACAAGTCGAGACCTTGTGACCCAAAACGACATTTGATCACTATAGTGAGTCACATCATACGTCCGACTGGAGATTATACTACACTTGACACCAAGGAAAATGTATACAAAACATAGCATGTGCAATCGTTCAATATGTACAACTTATCTATGATGTTCCAAACATTGTTTTTACTGGCTTCGAAGAAAAATCGAGAGCCCGTGACCCAAAATGGCATGTAGTCATTTTAAACGTATGTATATCATTTTTGCTAATTTCGTGTTCGTTTCACTTCATTCTCGATCGTTTTCACATGACTAGATTTAAATGTCACAGTCCACTCAAAGTTCAAACTATAGCGAGTCACATCATACGCCCGATTGGAAATTATACTACACTTAACCACCAAGAAAAATGTAACAAGTATGGTATACACAACATAACACATGCAATCGTGCTATGTTTTGGATACCAGACTCGTACACATTGAACGACTAAACGTGCTATGTTTTGGATACCAGGCTCGAAGGGAACGCTTGTAATAAGGTATGATTTTACTAAATTAAATATTATTACTTTCTTGTATACGTTTCTTGACTTTTTTGTTAATAACGTATCAAAAAAAAATTTCGGGGGCAGCCCCCGTAAACCCTAACCCCTTCACCTCTACCTCTAGGCCCCCTTACTTTCATGATCTAACTCCACCCCTGATCACAGGACCTTGATTTTACTCCCAAAAAAATCAATCAAATCTTGAACCATCTGGAAGACTTATACAAGTTAAACGAGCTAATTTGTTGAGTATTTTATCCTATAATTGGAATATATGGAATTTGGGTTACTTGCCTTTGTTCGTAGTAAGTATATGTAGTTTACTCACAGAACAACAGTGTTGGTCATTATCGCATGAAATTTGTATAGACATTGATGTCCAAATGTAATGAAACTTGCTTTTGTTTGTGCAAACGAGTGCAAATAAAGTGAAACAGATATGAAATTAGTTGAAATGACAGCAAAACATTTAAAATGGCAGCTTGACATTTTGGGTTACGAGGTCTCGATGTCACTCTAAATATCGTGAAAACTTGTTTACGCTTATTTTTATGTGGGTACGAGACAATATAAAGTGAAACGAATGCTAGATTAGTTAAAACGTCATCGAACCGTTTGTAACGACAACATGTCGTTTTGGGTCACGAATTTTCAATTTCGCTCAAAAAATTGTTAAAACTTGTTTTCATTAATTTTTATGTGGATACGAGGAAACATAAATTGATACAAACATAAAATCAGTTAAAACGGCATTCAGTCGTTTAAAACGGCAGTATGTCATTTTACTGTTGGTTTTAAATTGTGTATGAAAGTAGAAGAATTCACTGTGATGTAATATGGGTAATTTAGGTAATCTATTAATTTTGAATTAAAATATTTATTTTAAATCATTAATTGTGGTCAAAGGCTAAAATCCCAAACTATATTATCAAATAGACCATTTGCCCCAATTACCACTATTATAAATCCCCAGATCGTTCATATAAACCCCCAAATCATCTCCCTTTTTCGACAGGCTGAAATGGCTTCTATCTTTAACGGCCTCCCTATACTGGAGGCGGTGGTGGCGACGAGAACTTGGATGGTGGGGAGGTGACTAGATAGGTGGTGGTGGAGAGAAAATAGGTGGCGGAAGTGAGCGCTTTGGCGGTGGGGACGAAACTGGTGGTGGTGGATGTTCTGGTGGAGGGATGAGGCAACTGGTGGTGGAGGTGATGAGACTGGTGGTTTGACACTTGGAGGTGGAACAAAATACTTGGGGTGTTGGTGTGGGCTTGGGGTTTGGTTTTACAGGAGTAGGTTTGGGTGGCTCCTTTGGACCAGATTCCGGTGGCGAACTCCTGCATCCTGCTTTGCTGCAATCAGACATTCCTGCCGATGCGCACCACCGCACCTACGCACTTCTCCAACACCATTTTTTGGATTAGGATTTCTTGATTCTGCTAATTCGTTCTTGTGTTATATACATTTCGTTTTTAGGTATGTTTAGTTTCTATGATTAATTAAGTGTGGTTTATGTTTTCATTAACGAACTATGCTTAGAGTTTTTAGGGGTTTTGAGTTTTGTCTTCCTTGTTCTTTACCTTTTCTTAATGTGGACTGGTGTTCAAATTCATCTCATTTCCTTACTCTCTATTCCCCAACCACACCTATCCCCTTGCCATATGGGAGTTTTCTATGCTCTGTCATCTGTTTTCCAATTTGTGGAATTACAAATTAGTGTTGACTCAACTAACTTGTTCGTTGCATAATGTTTCAGACTGGAGGGATGCTAGCCAAACTAGATATTTACAGAAAGTTCACAAATGCATTGGCTGTTGCTGTGTCTGTGGGCTGGATTTGCTATGAGGTAATGTTTGTATCATTGGAAGCTATGCTGATTATCTGTCCTATTGCTTCAATCTGTTTTTAACTCCTGGTTTTTTTTAATGTAACAACAAGCACAACTACTAGAACCGGGAAAATGTTCATATAAATTGGCTCTTACACTTAGACAAATTGATGAGAACCACATTCTTCATAATTGGATTATGAAGCCTCAATGATTGCACGAAGTAAGATTATTTTATAAAAACTTTGTTAAAATCAAGAATTTCTTGTAAATTCTGTTGAAAAATTAAGTAATAGTGACTGTAATTTTCCTACTTCAAAACTTCAAAGAAGTTTTCTGATCAAGTCAGGTTATATTGATCAGTTGAAGACAGATTTGAAAGAGTTAATTGATACGACAAATAGATATGAAAATTGTAATGTTATTTTAAAATGGTAACCACTCCTTGTACCCATCCTTGACCTTGGTTGTGGAAGCAACAATCCTTAACCAAGGGGGACAAGGTGAATTGATAACTATGTTGTATTTTGTATTTCATAATATTTCCATTTTTTAAAAAATTGCATGACTTTGTTTCGTGCAGCTTTATTTCAGGTCAAATGACATATACAATGAGCAATGGCAGCTCATATGGATCATTCCTGGCTTCTGGCAAGTCTTGTCTTTCTCCCTCCTGTGCGTCATCTGTGCTCTTTGGGCTCCATCTCGAAACTCAATGCGGCAAACACCTGACTCTCCAGTTTTGATTGTACCGAGGCTAGCACCATCCCTATATAGTTAACACTTAGATTGGACAAGTTAGGGAGGGGAAGTTGAGAGAGAATGAGGATATTGGAGTCCAAAATCTATATGTGCAAGTAATTGATTGTACTGAGGCTAGCACCATCCCTAAATTATATTATTTTTAGGTGCAAGTAATTGTTATACTCACTTCCAGATGGAATTTTTAACAGTGAGCAATGTTTCCAGAGATATATTTCAAATTTTATTTTTAGCAGTGTGATCTTGTTTTTTGTTCCCAGGAAAATGATCCTACATTGATGGGAATAGTGAAAAAAAGTGATAAAGCCTTGCAAAATGCTGCTGATAAGCTGATCAGTTGGTTTTCTTTAGTTTTTGACAATAATACTATCCTTCTTTAATGTGCAAATGCTTTTAATAATGCTTTCTTTTTGCTGATACTGCTTTTGGTTCATTTTAAGCACTAAGCTATTTATAATGTTCAGTGCACAGTTGACAAAAGCATACCAAACAGCCAATGTTCTCTTTGAGGTTTTGAGAGCAGTTAATAAGACTCAAGCAGTGGAAGTTGACCGTGAGGTAAACATGAATTATGTGTTTCAATATTTTATACATTCCATTTTTACATCTAGATATGCAATGTGTTAATTATGAACTCTATGAATTTGTCATATTGCTTTTCCTTTGTCTGGCAGTGGCCGCCAGCTTTGATTAATTTGGTTGTGTTATGATTTCTTTTCCTTTGTCTGGCAGTGGCCGCCAGCGCTGATTAATTTGGTTGTGTTATGATTCGTTTTTTAACTCTTGGAGGAGCCACCATGAAAAATAATGATCATAGCACAGAGCATAGAAGTCAAATTTTTTGTATCTTACTTTGATTAAAAGCAATGGTATCAGTAAAATAGTCCAATAGAAGTCAATAAGTATGATAATAATAGTTAAAAACGACCCTCATAAGCCTAGAGGTTGTTGTTGCCATAAAATGTGTATTTTAAGAGTTTTTTGGTACTGGTGGCTTCTTTTATAGACGTAGTTCTCTTTTATAGAATCTTGATTATTTTTCCTTCTTTTTCTTTATATTTGTTGTTTGCTGGATTGGAAGTCACCTTTATGTGTGTGTTTGGTAGGGATTTTTTGGGGGAAGAATTGATTTTGAATAGTGATATGATGGGAAATGTGTGGTTGAAAAAGAAGATAAGATTATTGATGTGATAAAAAATATTATTTTATTGAAGAATGTGTGTGATGGGAAATGTGTGGTTGAAAAAGAAGATAAGATTATTGATGTGATAAAAATATTATTTTATTAAAGAATGTGTGGTTGAAAATGAGAATTGATTTACTGTTGAAAATGAGAATTTTTACCAAACATAGCCTATATCTAGAATTGACCCAATGTGAAAACTTGTGTTTAAAACAAGCTTCATTAGAAATGTGGCAATACTTGTTAAAGAAGCTTCCTGCACCTCCTAAAATTTTATGATATCGGAAAATTAACTTCATTAAGGTTCTTTTTAGGCATCTATGCTCTGGGCTAGGATCATTATTTTACTCTGTATGCCTATTGAATTTATTATGTACGTTATGCAGTTTTAATAGGGGAGGAGCCATCATGACTAATCTTGATTCAACTGGAGTTCCAAGTCCAAGCAGGCTTGGGGTTCTTGAAATTTATTTCTCTTGTAGTGCTTCCAAATTCTTTCTCGACTCCATTATAATCGGTTATTCTATTAGCTTGTTTGATAAGATGAACTGAATTAGACTAGAACCTGTACATATATTATAAGTTTATCTCAACTTTTGTTTTTGTTTCAGGCACATTGCCAATTGCCCCACATTGCCAGTTGGAGGTTGACAACTGAGTTACACTCGTAGGCTTGACATAACGAAAGTGATTCATTTCAAAATGTGAAGGAGTATATTACTTCTTTTTTATATATGTTGTCTCAAGTGATGATGATGATACCAGAAATAGCATGATGATGAAGGGCAAAGTGATGACTCCCATGAAGTAATTGAGGAGAGTGAATCATCTGAAGATGAAGTTGGTAGCATATTACTAGTTTTTACTAATAGAGTCTGGGTTCAAATACAGGTTGAAGTGGCCACATTTGGGGATGATTTTTCATGTCTATTTCTTCCAGAAATTTAGTTAGTGGAATGATAGATGAAACAATTGTATTGTTTATCTTATTCTTTTTTAAATAGGTTGTGTTGTATCACATTCGAATTTTGTATTGATTCAAAAATTTTTGTGAGACGGATCAAATCAAAAAAAAATTTATGTTTCTACTTCTTCTAGCAATCTAGTTAGTGGAATGATGGATGAAACAATTGTATTGTTTATCTTACTCATTTTTAGAAAGGTTGTGTTGTATCACATTCGAATTTTGTATTGATTCAAAAATTTATAATGAGATTATCAATTTTTAGGCAAATTCAAAATGTGTTCACAAAGTGTTATCTTTAATTTTGTCTGTCAATTACTTAATTACCATAATTGTATTAAAAAAAAAGAAAAAAAGTATACCGCAACATTTAAAAAATGTTGCAAAAGGGTCTAAGTAACATTGAAAAAACACTGCAAAAGGGTTTATCGCAATTTTTTTAAACGTTGCAAAAGAATTTTTCACAATGGTGAATAAACGCTGCAAAAAGTTTTCCTTCAACGGCAACATCGACCTCCGCAACACTTGGAAAAACGCTGCAAATTGCGAAAGCCCTTTTTTGGTATAGTGTCAATCTCTTGAAATACTAGGAAGAAGAAAATTTCAGAATTAAGGTTACGGCGATGGTGATTTGGGTGGAGAAATCCCTGAAGTGGCGGAAATTGGAGGTGATTTGAAACTTAAATGGATCTATATCGACATGTCCATCTATGATCTTGTTTCTCTTGAAATTTAATTAATTTTGAGTGTGTAAACTTTAATGTATTAACTTCCCAATAAAAGTATAATTAAAATAAAAATAATATATTTTTTAAATTTTTCATTCAAATTAGCGACAAAAATAGAGACGGAACTCCGATGCTAATCATCAACGCAAATAATTCGTAGGTAATTGTGACGAAATAATTGTCATTAATGGCGTTGCTAATTAACTACAGAAATATTTGTCGGTAATTTGCGACGGGATATTTCATCGCTAAATACCGACGGTAAAAAATTAGTCGGTAAATTAACGACGATGCTATTACCAACAGATTGACCGACGAAAGTATTCCGTTGTTAAAAGCCCTTAGCAACAGAAATTAGGGTTTTGGAGACAGAAATTTAGATGCAAAGTTTTTTGTAGCGTTTTTCTTTCTTTCTTTCTTTCTTTCTTTTTTTTTTTTTTATGGAAAAGACAACTCAAAGCTGTAACATTTTGGAAAAAAATAAATCTTTCATTCCACCCCCACCCCATGTTAGGAGAATAGATGTTGAGAAAGTTATATTACATTTTTTCTTCACACTTGATCATTTGAAAATCATAAGGAGGATGGCCTTTATTTTTTGGGGGCCTTATACTCGATGCTTGGAATCGTAATTGTATGAAAGGAACGAAAAATGAGCGAAGAAAGAGTTTCAAAATTTGGGGACCAAAGTGCAAACATTCAAAACTTGATTCAGACCACATATCAGTGATTGAAGAATGTGGAAGTCAATTGCATGCAAATAGAAGACAAAAGGATTGAAATTGCATTAAAAAGGGACCAAATCAACACGGGAAGAAGTTCAAGGACCAAGTTGCGACTGTTCCCAAAGTTACTTTAGCCATGCACATGTGCAAGGCACCATTTTGTAGCAACAGAGGCTCATGTGGATAAGCCATGGTTTGCATGGGTCGAAAATTGATCACATCCCGTTTCTTATCTGATATGAACTCGTTTAGAAATCAATTTTGAGGCGTCTCTTGACCTAATTTTGGCCTCTATGGGCACAACCACAACAAACATTGGAGAAATCACTCTCTAGGCTCTATGATTAATTCATATCACAAAATCCATCAAGAAGAAGATGCAAATTCACCATTTTTTGGAGAGAAAATTAAACCAAGCAAGGAATTGATGGAAATTATATCTACTTGAAGATTTAGGCTTGAAATTGAATGTCCAGTTTTCTTATATTTATACATTTATCGGGTGATATCTTTTCATATTTTTTTCTTGTAATATTATAGAAATCATATTAGGCTAGATTCTTGTTAGTATTGGACGAAGATGAAACATTCTTTTTTCTTATTTTTAATTCAAAATAAATAATTTAGTATATTTATGTGTTTTCTTGATTAATATTTCATGCTTTTTGCATTACTTGATTGATTGCCCACAAAGTAGATAATTAGTTACTTGTTATAGTTTCGGGAGGTCCATAATAAGTTAGAACTTTGCATAGTTAGCATACGGGACAGTAGATAATAGAAATAACTTGTATGGTATAATACTCTGAACATATGTACAATACATTATTATGCATAAATGCAAGTTTTGAGAAATTTAGGGTAACTTAGCAACCTCACAATTTTCTAGGGATGTTATAATAATTATTTAGGATATCTATTAAATTAATTATCGGTTTGTTTGATATAAAAGTATTCAGATAAAACTTGAAAACTTGCACATATCTACAATAGAATTTTATGCTCATGTTGTTATAAATTTTTTTTATTTGAATTTCATGAGAAGGTAGTTTGTTGAAAGTTCAATTTTAATTTTAATTAGGAGCCCTATTAGAATTCTAGATAGGTAATTAATCCTAATTTAATCACAACTATTTATTTAGAACCTATTGCTGCGCGTCCAATTCACAGAAATCACAGAGAGAGGGAGAACCGCGAAAGAGCGAAAAAGAATAGAGAGAGAAGAAAAGAAAGAAAGAAAAAAAAAGGAATAAAAGTTTTTTAACGCATTACTGTTAGCAAGAATTCTCTGTCCTAAGTAGCTCCAATATACGTGCAATTTAACAAACAAGAAATGTATTTCTCTATGTGCCAAGTTGTTTTATGTTTTCACTTTTTAATGTTTTAAGTTAGGTAATTTATGTGCTATTGAGTGATACAAATTAATAGAAAGGAGGATCTTGTGGATAATACCATAGGGCATTTTATAGACCTACACAAAAACCTGTCTTAGGGCTAGAGACCCTAAGTGGAGATTGAAAATGGATATGTCCTGATAGAGAATGAGACGGTCCGATTTCTATCCCATCAGAAAATTATGTTATGTGCGTAATTTACTTACTTTTTCTATTAAATTGTGAAAATACTAGCAAGAAATCTAAACTAAGTGTATTCGTAGACTCATTCCATATTCTAAATTATTTTATAGATGCTTGATTGATCGTAGTCAAAGGTTAAGACTGCGAGTGGAGTTTTTTTTTTTTGGTTAAAGGAGGGCGCTACCTCCGAGATTTTATTAATATGTCCTTACTTGTGGAGGAGAAATACCGTTGTTACATGAGTTTGTGTCATTGGATCAATTATTTAAGATTTTCCTTAATTATTCAATATTTAATTAGAAAAATATTTTGAAATCAGAATTTTATTTATTTATTTAATATTCAATATCGATGAGAATTCTTAAGTACTAAATTTATACTATAGTATTTGATTAGACCAATTCACATTTTATTAGACAATAAAATAGTTTATTTTATTATGCACATTTCTTTAAATTTAATATTACAATATGCGTCAATCAACCTTTCTTAAGAATAAAGAAATTGTCTGAGTAAACTTTGGGGCATGGGTTTCGAGGCGTTACATATGGCGTATACAATCGTATTGATAATCGTGTGTGTGAATGTATTGCTTTGCATATGAATTCAAAATTTGATTATGATGAGGTCGTGCTTAGAATATGTTTAACTTACATCGGAAGTGATAGTTAGATAGCAATAGATTATCAATTGTCACGAATGCATAATTATCACTAACTTAGACAAGTCGAAAATTGGAAAAAGAACAAAGTGGGTTCATAAATCCAATATATTCATTCCATAATTCATATAAAACAACGCATTTAGATAATTTGTAGAATAATTCTTAAGAAATAAAAAGTCTCTCTTTTATTTACATATATTCAAATTTAATTACAAACTAATACAATTTGCTTTAAGATGTATTCATTGTGGTATAATACCCTTAACTCACTAAATTACTACTTGTCGATGATCCCATTAGCTTGCGAGTTTCGCACTAGTCGATCGTTCATATTTCTATTCCGTATTTATATGCAAATTAATGCATTAATGCACACGAATATGAATATGATTGCAAAGTAATGCATCTTATTCCTAACATGTATTGCTCATTTATTAACTTAACATCTTTCATTCTAGCAATTAAAATTTGCATGTAGAACATATTTATAATTGTAAGACAGGTTGAATAGACTTCGCCTAGATATGAAATAACTCATTGATAATATTTTTTGAGATGTTAGCCATTCCAAGGGCACTTGAAAAGGTCACCCTTTTGTCCATATGCCTATATGTTTCTTATATTATCACTTCAACCCTGGCGCATGGCCCTTGCCAATTTAGGCTGAAAGAGTCCGGTCTGATCTCTTTGTTCGCAATAAAAATAAATAAATTTAAAACAGGTTGCTTACTTTGAAGATCTTTCAACAAACTTTGGAATTAAAATAACTTCTTGTTTTCTTTTAATATAGCGTGAGTTTCATTTGAGCTTTTCCTCCAGGAAATCCAGATTCGCATTCATTTTTATCCTCGTTTTGTTCCTCATTGAAGGTCAAATTTCTTAGCAAACCTAGGCGTACTTCTACAAGTATCATGGTCTCAACTACATAGGTTAATGAAAAAGAAGTTTTCCCCATGGTAGTTCATGTGATAGAGCAATATGCCTATAAAAACATTGGCACTTCGTCAGCCCAC